TTTCTTTCTTTCTTTCTTTCCTTCCTTCCTCATTTCCTTCTTTCTTTCAACAATCTCTTCTTTCCAGGTCAAGTCATACAAGAATTAAATCAATAAGCTATTAACTCCTCATTCCCACCTTTTCTAGCCTTTCTGGTCCGGATAAACTGAAACCCTATCCATGAAAACACCTGCTTGCTCAGATAATGAGCTATCATATCAGCCCGAGCCGATACTATCAGATGTCAAATACTTTTAAGAAATAATACACAAGCCGTGATCAAGTTTCATTCTTACAATTAAAGGTTAATTCGTATCAACTGGGCGTCTCAATGGGACTGGATCGTTTTACTCCTAATGTGCAATAAGGAGCCGAATACTAGACGATATTAAGTAAGTACGGTAGTCTGAAAACATTGGCTCTCCTGAGTGGTAGAACAGGCCATTTAAAACGATATGGTATAATCCATTTTCACAGACAGTGACGTCACATGAGGTAAATTAGTACACCTAAATATTATCCTGTAAAACGGCGTGGAAGTTACTCCGACGTCATTGACGTCCATAAACAATAACGTCACATGATTGTCATGACAACAGCCATTCATGCGTAACAGTGACGTCGTTAACATTCACAAACAGTGACGTCACATGATTGTCATGACACCAGTCATTCACGCGTAACAGTGACGTCATTGGTATTCATAAACAGTGACGTCACATGATTGTCAAGACAACAGTCATTCATGAGTAACAGTGACATCAATAGAGGTAAATACTAAAAACTGATTATTACAGGAAAAATATTTAATGATAGTTTCTCTTTAAACCACGCTTGATACATCGTGTTGTGACGTCACTTCCTGGATTCTGTAACATTTCATAAAGAATTCCAAAAAAAATTTATTCCTCCTTCACGCAGACGTGGCGGTACCTCGTAGGTTTATGTATCGAATCTGCATCCAGAACCAGAACAAATATATATTGTTTACAAATTTAAAGAACGTTTCCCCAACCATAAAGTTCTTAATTTTCTAGATCGTTTGYAAGTAGAATCTATAACCAACATATCATTATTTCCTGGACTAATTAGTCCGAAAGCTTGGATCCATGATATTAAAAACGTAATGGTTGAAGAAGCGTCCTTCAATTTGTAAATGATTGCAACCTACAAAAACACGTTCAATGTATTGTGTTGTTAATCTCTTTCACAGAGTGTAATATTAATTTTACGCTCGCAAAATCCATTTAAAAGAACTAATCGTAGATGATAAAAACAGCAAAGTATTCCTTGCGCAAGACATTATTATTTAATGAAGAAGAACCTTTGATAAAATATGGTCGAAACGCCTATTTTTCTATAACCTAATCAGAGACAAACAAATAGTATTGATAATATTAATACTGATTGCAAATTTAAGATATTTACAGCAAATTGTTGTATACCTCTGAACTTTCATCTTCAGATCGCAATTATCACAATTCTTTTCCCATAACATCAATCCTGAATATATTCTTAGTTTCTTATGGTTTCTCTTATTTCTGTTCCTCAAAGCAGATATAACAGATTAGCAACAGTAAACCTTGATACGGGTGGTTTACGATCACTGAGAGAGACCTTGGAGCCTGAACAAATACACCTTGAACACCTAGACGCACTGATGTGGTGCTGGTGGCCATGAAGCAAACAACATTGACGTCAAGATTGTCCAGTTAGATTGTGGAAGAAAACACTCATTTATTCATCCATTACATTTCATTTATACCATTCCATCCCATTCCATCCATCCATCCATCCATCTATCCATCCATCCATCCATCCATCCATCCATCCATCCATCCA